TCTCGCCGAGAAGCGGCAGCTACGGCTGCGGCAGACCCAGTTGCTCAAACGGATTGCTCACCTCAAGGGTCACTAGCACGCAGCATGCTCCCCGCCCCCCCCTCCCCGGTCCCCACAACCCCCTGTCTCCCTCTCAATTTGCACATTTTTTAATTTTTTGGGGGTTGTTTGTTGAACTGTTGGCCCCGGGGGGCTGGAGCATGCGGCGGTTGCTGCACGTGGGGTGGCTGCAGTGGTGCTCCCAGCTGTAGGAATGGGGCCACAGCAGGGCTCCCCCCCCATGGCATCACCTGCCTGGGGCTGGCTTCTTGTCATCGGGTGTTGCAAGATGTCCCCTGTCCCCCCTGTGAAGCTTTCTCAAGTGACTGCTTCGAATTGTGGGCTCGACTCCACTCCTCCCCCTTGCACCCCTCTCCGCTGTTTGCCACCAACAGCGCCGCTGGGAGCTGCCCCTGGGCATCCATCTCACCCTAAAAATCCCGAGCAACCATGGGCTGCTTCGGCTCAGGTGGAGGCAGACACAGAGAGCCCAACACATGAGGCTTGTCTCTGGATGGATCTCCATGGAGATGGCGATATCAGGATGTCTCTCACTGTGGTTAACAGCTCCCTGTGGGCAATCCCCTTGCTCGGCTGGACCGTACCTCACTTTCTTACCACTTCACGCAGTAGCTTATCTTGGATTTTATGTTCTAGAAACTGCTGCTGTAACTGCGAGTCTTATACTGGAGGCTGTGTTTTTATACTGTATTTTTGTACCACTTTTTGAGAAGTATTGGTAAAGAGTTTGCTTTTTTTATATATATATATAAACTTTTTTTTTTTTTTTTTTGAGGGGGTTCCTGCTGCAGAGCAGGGCTCAGTCCTGCTGCACTTTAAGGAGATCAGGAAGGGGCTGGCTCCTGCTGGACCTTTGAGCTGAGCCCTCGCGGAGGCCGGTTTCCCCCTTGCAGCTCTCCAAACCACCAATTTGCAATAACAGGGGATTTTTTCCCCTTTCCCATCCTTGTGAGCATCCTTGTGTCCATCCCCCCCCCTCCCTTTCCCACTCTTTTGAGCACCCCCTCACCGGCAGCCACTTAAAAGTCCCCACCGAAGCTTTAGGCTTTGCAGGGAGCCTGGCTGGAGGGGACGGTTTGGGTGCATGGAGGGGCTGCGCTGCCTTCAAGGCTTCCCCCTGCCTGTGCCATTCTGCTGCCCAGCCTGCGGTGGGGTACATGGGTGGCAGAGTCCCCTGTCCCCTCCCAGGGGTGGCTGGCAGAGGTGCTTCTGCAGAACAGCACCCTTGGGTCCCCACTGACCTGCTGAGAACTGTTAGAGTTAACACTGTGGTCGGATTTAGCACTTTCTTCATTACCTCACACTTCATAAATAAATAAATTTGCAACAGCTTGGGTTGGCTTTTTCCATGCAGGTGGCTGTGGGTTTCCGTGCATTGTGCCATGATGCTCCTGGGGGGGGGCTGGCCTGGCCGCTGTGTTTTGGAGTGTCCTGGCTGCGCACGGACGCAAACAGAAATTAATATATTTTGCATCAGGGTTTGGCTGCTTTGCTGGCAGTAAGACTGAGCTCTTTGTCCTGGCTTTCTCCCAGCAATCGAAACAGAAGTGGTCATGGTGGTAGGGCCAGGGAAATGAATCACCTGGATTATTTTTCCTCCTTTTAAGTGGCTTTGTTGGCAAGGAGGGGCAGAGAGCCCATGCTGGGCTCGGAGAAGGCTTTGGTGTAACTGGAAACCCCCCTAGTGGTGCTCAGGGCAGTTGGTGTGGGGCGATTGCTGCCCCACGGGTCAGGGGATGGGGCTGTGGTTGGCAGTAACCCTATAGGGAGGGGGGAATGCGATCCGCTCGCTTCAAGGGGCGCCAGAGAACTTCATATACTGGGATCTGCCGAGTGGATGAAATTATATATATGTGCCTTCTCCCTGCTGTCCCTGAACCCGATGCTTTTGGGTTTCCTTCATATTGGTGGCAAAAGTCTTACTCTAAATGCAAGAGGGATGCGGGATCCTGTTACTGCTGAGAAGTCAGCAGAGAGCTGCTGCTGCAGGCTCAGTCACCAGGGCGAAGCAGCCTGAAAAAGCAATGATTCTGCACGGAAGCTCTTTAATACCCCTTTCCCTTCGGTTCCGGCAACGTTTCACACTTTCTGCATGTTGCATCATGCCATGTCAAAGCGTTTTAGAGCTGTATTAAAAGGCACTCACGGGAACCACAGCTTAAACACGGAGCAGGGTGACCTAAATCTGACACCTCGCCCATGCGCAGGAAACAAAGCCCAGATGTACCAGTCCCTCAAACGTTTATTTTTGTTGTGTGTACACTGACACATGCAGACTGGTGTCTTTTTTCAGCTCAAGGTGACCCTCTCAATGAGGGTTTTAGTAAGGTGTGCTTTTGCTTTTCATGCTGAAGGTGCATGGGATGTTTAAAACGTTATTTTTCTTTCTTGGAAATGATGTGCAGATCCTGTGACCTGAGCTGAGACCATCATCAGTGGAAAATGTAGTTGGTCTCAAATCAAACAGAGGAACAGTACCAGTTTTGCACATACCTTTGAGTTCCCTTGCTTAAAGCCCTCATATATAAATATATATCTACCTGAAACTTCCCTGGTTACTAATCCAGTTGTCTCCTCTCATATTGCCACAGAAAGGATGAGGAAAGCCAACTGACAGTGCTGTGAAGTGAACAAAATAAACACACAGGGCTTTTCCTCCTTGCTTGTTCTGCGATTTGCAAGTGTCGCCTGTAACCATCACAATTCTGCATTTCCAGGCCCAATACAATTATTTTTTTTAATGCACATCACCCTGCTCCTTGCAACTCAGCTCCCCCCCAACCCCCCCAAGCCATCTTTGCTTTCCCACCGTAGCCCCGGTTTTGCAGGGGACAGCTTCAGCCAGCCCAGGGGTGCCGCGGGCTCGGTGCCGCCTTCACGCCTGGACTGGCAAATTTTTAGGACAGTTTCCCCGAGGCGGTGATAATCCCTTCCCCTCAGAGGGGGGGCCCCCTCCCTGACCTGCAGCCTCCTGCCCCCCTGTTGCTATGGCAAAGGATGTGTGTTGCCAGGGAGAGTGGCACCGTGGAGATACCCGCCTCCCGCCATCGCCATGGCAACCGTCTCCCTGCCTTTCCTCCCCTCTGTTGCCACGGAGACAGTCGCCCCGCTCCTCATCTCCCCGTGTTGCCGTGGTGATGGGGCAGGACCAGCCTCCGCGGAGGCTGCGGGGTGCCCCCGGAA